AGGAGTTTGATTTAAATGAGCTGGAAATTTCAAAATGTTAGACAAGGGTTATTTGGTGAATAATACGTGCTTGGTCGAGGCAAAGGTCATTGTCCATGGACTTGCTAGCATTAGAGCTAGCTAAAGCTTAAAATACTTGTAACACACCTGGTATGCAAGATCTGGAGATTGGAAGATGAAGAAGATGTGGGGCAATTAGAGGAAGAACGCAAACCTGAAGATTGGAAGAGTAGTTTAGAAAATACATGTTTTTAAAAAAGCAAATGTACAATACATGTACGTACAAATTTTTCAACTTCAAACAAAGATTTATGGGTATAATTGTAAGAGAGAAGGTAGTATTCTTCATGTAAAGTGTCGTTTGAAAAGTGATGCATAAGCAAAAGCATGCATTATCCTGAATTCTTATGTGCCGTATCAAATACAAAATGCTTTCTCTATATGTCTTTAACATATGAAGGCATCCTTCTACGTATAAAATACTATTATAATTAAATAGTACAGCCGCGCAGCTAAACTGATTTTTTTTTAAATAAATCTTATAGCCGCTCGGCTGTACTCTTATAAATAGTATGGCCGACCGGCTATACTTGTGTTTAAAAATAAATAAATAAATAGTATAGCCGTGTGGCTATAGGGGTTCTTTATTGTTTTTTATTTTTATTTTCCTTTATTGATAAGAGTAGTTTAGAAAATACATGTTTTTAAAAAAGCAAACGTACAATACATGTACATACGTATGTTTCATGTCTAATACACATTTGTTTATACAGATTTTTCAATTTCAAACAAAGAGAGGATGCAGTATTCTAAATGTAAAGTGTTGTTTGAAAAGTGAAGCATAAGCAAAAGCATGCCTTGTCCTAAAATCCTATGTGCCGTATCAATTACAAAATGCTTCTCTACATGTCTTTAACATATGAATGCATCGTTCTACGTATAAAAAGAATGGTACGGCCGCTCGGCTATACTATTTATTTAAAAAAAATTAAAGAGCCTTATGTATAGCCATGCGGCTATACAATATTTTATACATTCATATGTTAAAGACATGTAGAGAAGCATTTTGTATTTGATACGGCACATAGGAATTTAGGACATGGCATGCATGCTTTTGCTTTTGCTTTTGCTTATGCTTCACTTTTCAAACAACACTTTACATGAAGGATACTACATTCTCTCTTACTACCATACCCAAAAATCTTTTGTTTGAAATTGAAAATTTGTAAAACAAACATGTGTATTTATAGACATGAAACATACATACGTACATGTATTATATGTTTGCTAAATGTGTATTTTCTAAACTACTGTTATTGATAAACGAAATTCAAGAAAAAAAAGTATTAAATAAAGAACCCAATATAGCCGCATGGCGACTATACTATTCATTTAAAAAGTTGAAAAACCAAAGTTTAGCCGCCCGGCTATACTATTTGTTAGAAATATTTAGAAAATAACTGAAGTATAGCCGTGCTATACTACGTAGTTATATTATATTATATTTAAATAGTATAGCCGCACGGCTATACTATTGATTAAAAAACAATTGAAAACTGAAGTATAGCTGCGTGGCGATTCTTTAATCATGCAAGGTTGGAAACAATGCTTTCATTCATATTCACACAAGTTAAGAACATAATTTTAGCACTATGTGCAACAACATTACACCTGCCTGCCTGAATTAAACATATGATACAATTAAGCAGACTTGCAGTGTTTCAGAAGTTCCGTGGATGGTGACCTCTGCTTCCACTATGCAAGTATCCTTCACAGAGAAACCCCTGCCTGCCTGATTGAAAAGGTCTAGTTTAATGAAATTTGAAGGACCCCAAATCCAGTTATTGGCACTGAACCAGTTATAATCTACAACAAGTGGAAAAAAAAAAAAACAAACAAACAAACGAACAAAAGATTCTCGGTTAATGTTGCTGCAGCTTAAGCAATAGATTAATGTATCTGGACCCTGTTTTGCAGCTCCATTGAAAAGTGTGTTAAAAATTTAACAAAGAACTTGGACTCGAATCAAATACCAAACAGGCCCTAAGAGGCCTTTACATTTATAAGAAAGATGATTGGCAAGGTTTTGATCTACAAGGCGCAGAGAATACTCTCTGAATATTCTGTAGCCAGGAGGAAGTGCTTTTCGATCTGACAATGCCTAGGAAAGAGAAAGATGCATACCCTTGCCCCTGCCATGTCCCTTGGGAGAGAGGCTTATCATCCTTCAACAACCAACACATGAAGAAAAATAAACTTTTCAATTTCTTATATTTGGAAGCAATGTGATAAGTGCAAGAGGAAGGCTAAGAGCAACATTTTCTGATGTGGCCTCCAGCAATAAATGGTTCTGAGTCATAGAATTTAGCGTCTAACTTTGAAAAGTTGTCAACCTTCCAAACATGCTTGTACATAACGGGATTATTGATCATTGATATACACTCTCCTTTGCCTATAATTCTTCCTTCAGAAGTAAAGACCTCAGCTCCAAACACGCAGGTGTCATCAATGAGATATCCGTTGGAGGCATCCGCAAATGATTCTAGAGGGATAAATTGATCGAAACCTGAACAAGGTATCTTCCCATGAAAACACTTTACCTTTTTATTGGCATCTAAGCAACATGAAAGTTTAAAAGGATCAGCAAATGAGCAATGTGTTTGAAAAATATAAAAAGAAGTAGTTGGTTATCTGCTGGATGAGAATTAGACTGAACTAGATAATACCTTTGAGAACCAAGTACGTGCCGTTATTTTGATCAAGCAAAAACAATCTGAAAAAGGTAGAGAGAGATGTGGTCCACCACATTCTTCTTCAAGTTACCATTTGGATACAACCTCAGTTTCCTGTGCGCAGATTCATATAGTAGTCTCATACAAGTGGAAATAATACCAAATTATACCATCACAAGGTATGCAATGTGAAAATAAAGATAAGATGAAGATTGAACATAATTTACCATTTGTATCCTCCTGCTTCGAATTCCCCTGACTCAATACTATCCACATAATTTTTGTTCAGTGATGAAAATGACTGTATTTTCATAATGTAATGAGTTGGTAGTGATTGTGAAAATGACCTTAAAATCCCTGAAACCAAGTAATACAGCAACACAAGAAGGCACATAGAGATAGAAGCATTAGGGTGCTGAAGTCTTAATGCATATATTCCTTTAGTCTATAATTGTAGAATTTCCTTTGAGTAGGGTTTACACTAAGACACGGTCACACAGCACGGAATGTTGTTGAGACAGAGAAATTATCTTCCCATCTTGGTCGATGTTAAGAGTAGCCATGGCAGTAAAGTTGACCAACGAACTATTTTTTAGGATAAACAGCAATATATAATTCGCTTCAAGAAGGCTGCCCCTGTTGACAAACTGAAACAGAGGAAGGAATTAGCTTGATGCACATTAAACAAGGTATTTCTACATTCATTGGTTGTGCAATCAATCTCTTCGTTTTCCAATTTTATTAAGCCAAAGGAAATAATGTCATATTGAAATAGAAATATTTTTGCTCACCACTTTAACCCAAGTTGTACGCTCACCATCCTTCTTAATACTTGACATATGTCCATAAGCATAACCATGGTTACATAAATAAATTAACCATGGTTATACTTATGGACACGTGTCAAGTATTGAGAAGGGTGGTGAGCATACACATTGGGTTAAAGTGGTGAGAAAAAATGCATGTAAGATTGTATGTATTGTAGAAACCGAGAAAGAAAGACAGGTTCATTCATTGAAAAAATGTAACGCTACTTTCTAGTTTGTAGTTTCTTTTTTTATTCTCATATATTGAATTAATTAAACAGATTTTCCATATTATTTTTCATCAACACATATTTCCTGAATTTGGTATAATTGGAAAATGAAAAGATTCAGCTGCACCCCAAACATATGACAGAATTAAGCAGACTGCTCTGCTTCCACTATGCAAGTATCCTTCACAGAAAAACCCCTGCCCGACTGAAAAGGTCCAGTTTAATGAAATTTGAAGGACCTCAAATCCACCTCTTAGCACTGAACCAGTTATAATTTACAAGTGGGACAACAACAAAAAACGATTCTCAGTTTAATTTTGATGCAGCTTAAATCGTGGATTAATGTATCTGGACCCTGTTTTGCAGCTCAATTGAAAAGTGTGTTGAAAATCAAACACAGAAATTAAAGAGGTCTTGAGGCTTTACATTTATAAGAAAGATGATTGGCAAGCTCTTGATCTACAAGGCGTAGAGAATACTCTGTAAATATTCTGGAGCCAGGAGGAAATGCTTTTCGATCCTGGCTCCAAAATATTTACGGGCATGCTTTTCGATCTTGAATACATGAAATAACCTCTTTTGCATCCATTTCCAAGAGAAGAAAACGGCGGCCCATCTGACTATTTCAGACGAGGATCATTATATCCGAGAATTCTCCTACTTCATTAGGTTTAATTATTTTGCTTATAGCCAACACAATGTAGTCTTATATATTTGACTCTACATGGAAAGAATGGATCATCAGATAATTCTCTAATTTCATTGTAGTAAGTCATTGAACCATATTGATCTTATATCTTGGTTTGGCATATATGTAGAACAATGTGAAGTGAGCACACATGATATGGCTACATGGAGTTAAGTATGAACAGGCAGTGACTTGCATCTTACATGTCTTCTCTTCATACATGACCAAATATAATTAAGAGAGTTTTGTCACTTTGCAAGAGAAAAAACCAATATAACCTTAAACTTCAAAACAGTTCAATGCGTGTCTTGACTTCAATAAAATGGTGGTGTTGTAAAAAAACGTAAATAAACCTGAAAAAGGACACATGAGGATACCTGAGACCATTGTAACTTCACCACCGCCACCACCAGGTTCTCTTATAAAGAAACCTCTCCAAACTATATATGCCAAACCTAACACTCTAACTTTAGCTCTAGGAAAATTCAAGAACATGTTTTGAACACAAAATATTACATTACTACCTCAACTTACTCTAAGCTGATTAAAGAGCTTTAGCAATTCCGTGTACAGTGACCTCTGCCTCCACTAAGCAAGTATCCTTCTTCAAAAAACCACTGCCTGCCCGACGGAAAAGGTCCAGCTTAATGAGACGTTGCCAAACCTGAGCCGGACGCGAGGCACTGAACGAGTTATACCCTACAAGCAGAAAACAAAAATCATTCTCAGTTGATGCTGCAGCTTCAGCCAAAATTTATTTGGGCCATGTTTCGTGGTTGCATGGAGAAGTGTACTGAAAAGAGAGATTTCCAAGCAAAATCTAAGGAACATAAAATAAACCCTCATGAGCCTGTGGCAGGCCATTAGACTTCACCTTTAATGAAAACATGCTTAGTGTGCTTTTGATCTACAATGCGCAGACAATACGCTGCAAATATTCCAGAGCCAGGAGGTAGGGTTTTAGGATTAGACAATCCCAAGTGAAGAGAAAGATGACTACCCTTTCCAAGGCCATATCCCTTGGGATAGATAAGTATCTTCCTGCCGCAATCAAAACATGAAGAATAAGAACAATTTCAGATTACCTGCAGTTTAAAAGTTTGATCTTGAAGATCAATTCATTATTTTGAACCAAATTCTAAATAAGTTCAACAGGAAGTGTTATTGATCAGAGATACCATTTGTAGTCACCAGCTTTAAATGCTTCTGAGTAATACCCAGATTTTAACTCTGAAAACTTCTCAATCTTCCAAGCATGCTGGTATATGACAGGATTCTTGATCATTGATAGGCAATCTTCTCTAACTATTCTGCTTTTTTCAGAAACAAAGACCTCAGCTCCAAACACACAGGTGTCATCAATGAGATAACCATTGGAAGGATCCACAAATGATTCCAGAGAGATAAATTGATCGAAACCCGAATAAAGCATCTTCCCATGAAAACACTTTACTTTTTTATTGGCATCTAATTGAAGCAACATGAAAGTGAAAAGGATCAGCAAATAAGCAATGCATTTGAAAAATAATACCCATCTGCTGGATCACAATTAGAGTGAAGCTAGATAATATACCTTCAAGTACCAAGTAGGTGCCTTGTTTACACCATAATCAACCGAGCATATCCAGTCTCAAAACAACTAGCACCAAGGCAGACACGCCTTCTCTCCTGCCGAAGGAAGACACTCTTCTGAGGTGCCAAGCACCTGCCGGAACTCCCGACTGCCAAAGCTCACAAACTGTTAAACCTAATTCTCATGACACGTGTCACCACCGCTGCGACTTGCACAGAGTCCCACATCGGAAATCTA